CTACATATATATATATATATATACGTACATATGTATTATACATGTATATATATATATATACACAGTACATCGTATGCAACGGGGAGGAGGGTCTGTCAACTTCAAGACCTGCTTCATCGCTCTCCCATTTTCTGCTCAGGTTTTGACCCATCTACCGGCAATTCTCCCCCCATTTCTTAAAGTTTAGTAACCTCATCATGCCCTTCCGGGAAGACTAGATGTATTGGCTTTAGATATCATTGATCATTTACCTAGCGATTCTTCAATAGGGGTCACCCTTTTTAATCATCAACAAACCAATCGGAAAAGAAAATGTCCAAAGAAATCTATGACTCCCACTATCATTCTGAACATACATATATATATATATATATAATGTTAATATATAATGTTAATATATATATATACACACACGTCATAATAATTCACCAACCTAAAAAAAAAGCCTTTTTTGAGATACTTCTCCCTACTAATCATCCAGATCATGGGGTTTGTCAGCTTCACGACTGGCACCTGCAGATCTGCACATTGAATGCGCTCCCTGACGTGCCAGTGAAGCTGGTTGCTTGGGGTGAATCATCCCACTGCGGTTTTGGAATGTGTTGGATCTATGTGGTGATTCCCAAACCGCTTTAGATCGGAGATACCCTCTGGTAAACTAACATAGCTATTGAAAATGGCCATTTATAGTGGATTTACCCATTAAAAATGGTGATTTTCCATAGCTCTGTCAAATTACCAGAGGGTATACAAATCGAAATCTCGATGTTTTGGATCCGCCAAGCGCTTTTTTTCTTCCGCGATTTGTCTCCCATTCCCAGCGGCCTCATGGCTTCCGTCAAAACGGGAAGTCCATTGATACAGCCTGCAGCCCACCTGTGTGGCTTCGTTGGACGATGAGACTTTCGTCTGAAGCAATCGGAAAGGCCTCCCTTGCCCAAGCATGGAACGGGCAACTTAGTTCTGGGGTTGTTTGGTGTTGACTCGTACCTATAAAAAAAAAAATAAATAATAACACATGAGTAAATGAGAAACAATAATGGTAGCATAAGCCGTCAACGATCATGATATTGCCGGAACAAACAAAAAGTGGGGATGCAGGCAGCAACACATGTTGGGAATAAGCAGGATCTGGAAGAAAAAGATTAAGAAAAGTGAGGATGAGATGCCCAAAAGAAGACTAGCCTACAACAATGAGGAACAATGGCCTACCATCTGCTTCTTACATCCTTGTGCTTAAGGGTCGCAGGTTCTGCTGAAATCCGGAGTCTGAAACATCCTTTTGTCGGTGCTGTAAGGACTCAAGGATGGCCATGGGTGGTCTTCACAGTGATCCCTATAAAAATCTGCAAGCTTGATGTGCATTCCTTAGTTGAGAATCTCGGTGAAGAACCCTGCAACTGAACATGGCAAGGTAAACAATCCAATTTCAAGCTATAAAATGCTCAAAATACTCAAAGAATCACCACCAAAACCAAAGATTCCTCTAAATTCCACTAGCATCACTAGCACCTTTTCACTTTCCTGGGGGATCTAACCAACCCCAGTTAAACCCGTATTTTTGGGGGAAAACATCACCTCCAGGGAGCTTGATTAAAACATAGGGCCCCCGCATCAAATCGCGAAGATTTCCGCAGCTTTCCTCTGGAAAGCGGAAGGAAGTCGGCATGAACACAGCCTATCCAACGCAATATTTGGAGCTTGAGAACATTGTAACATGGGGTACAATTTTCATAGGAAAAATTATGATTCATCCGTGAATTTAGGGATACCCGATTTTTAGACAAAATCATATCAATGATTCTGTGCGCACGAAGCATGAAAAGTTCATCTAAAGGTGCACCTGCCAGCATGTCATGATCGTCATGATCTATCGGTATCGACGAGCTATGCCAGCTATGCATCTCCATGGCCAACCTTGGAGAATTACCATGGAAACAAAGCAAAAACATCTTGCCAGCTGAGCACAAATTCCTTGATCTATTTATGATGGCTGAAATGGCTGAAAGAAGCAAACCATGAATTCATCCACAAGTAAACCAGACACAGTTTCCACAACAATTATTGGGTATGCCACCAATCCACCCTTGTCAAACATCCAAAATTATCCAAAATTCAAGAATTGCCATAACATAGGCGTAAATCAGCCATGTTCAAACGAACCTCAATTCGATTTCCCCAGTTTTTTGTGAATTGAAACCTAATTCTGTTGGTCAAATGGTTTGATGGTAGCCCCCACCAAATTTGTAAATCACCTTGTTTTCACCTGAGCAGTTTTCAAAACCCTTTTTGACGCACCTTTTTGACAACCGTCACAAGCAGTCGGCCATTGGCAGACTTCTTGCTGCACTGAAAAGCCATGCGGCACGATTTATTTCGGCCAGAAGCGATGGAGGCCTACAGTGCCAACCTTTTCGACCACTGGCGTATCGGTCAGGGCGACCGGTAATTGTTGGAGCTGGGTGACCTTCGTGATTTGACGGTGGCCAAGTTTCGACTGCAACCATGAATGAACAAGAGCATCTGCATCTGGCGCAATCCGCATCCTCACACCCATAGCCCAACATGTAAATTTGCTATTGCTAGGTCTGTTGTGCTCCGCCTTGTAATCAGGAAGAACCAAACGTATCAACTGCAGCAAATAAGCGGCCCAAGATCGACATGTTTGATACATATCGTATTCCTGAAGCTTGGTGTAGATCTGCCAAGTGTTATGGCTTGAGGTCGACTGAATCCCCCATTCGCCGGTCTGCAGTTGAAAAAGGAAGAGAAGTTCATACCATGAGATCCATTTCAATGGTGCTGCTGGCATGTGAATGGCCTGCAGCCAGGCTAACAACTTATGAAATCCAGAGAATCTGAGTTTCACTGGTGCATGGTCTTCAGCAGCTTTTGCTATCTGATACCAATTAACCTCAGGTACATGATCTAGAGGGCGGACCGGAGCAGCTTGGGGCTTGTCATGGGTTGACACTGAAGTCTTTGCAACTCGTACCATATGGGCATGTACATGTGTAACTGCTTCTACCATGCGTCGCTGGCTTTGTGATGCATCCTTCTGTAGTTGGAGCACCTCGGCTGGTAAAGTGCTTAATGCATATTCAGCCAGACGATCTGCTGTGTCATTTGCACTACAAGCCCATTGAATCCAGGCTGGTTCATCCTGGTACGCTTGGTGCGAACGAATGTGATACAATGTGCATTGCTCCGGAGGGAGAATATACTGCTGCACTATCAGCCACAAATCATGGTCTGTCATGGCAATTGTCACCTCCAGCTCTCCACACTGAATAGCCTGGGCCCTGCGTACGATGAACTCACAATCACTCCAAATTGCACATGTGAAGTCTGGCAAAATCCTTTGTCGGTGACAATAGATCACTGAGGACACAAAAGCACAGAGCTCTGCTCGAGCAACCGTCTGATATGGTCCAGGGACCCCGCCCCATGACAACGGTGTATGTGGCTGCAAAGGATGTGCCCCCGCCAACACAACAGCCCATGCTACCAGCCTAGTAAGAGGCATTTTTGGATCAACTCCTGAACCATCACAGAAAAGATCTATGTGCTGTCTCGTCTGACCTAGGTGAACATAGGCCCCAAGGGTGCACTGAATCTGGGATAATGCCGCTCTAAATTGGGTGATTTCCTCAGGCTCCGTGGCCCATCCATGTTCGGCAAGACAAGGCGAGGATTGCAAAATGTAGGCTTGTACTTCAACTGGAATCAAGTCTCTACTACATTGAGTGGCCTGGCATTCCCAGTGACGGTGGAACACTGAGTCTGGGCCAGAACAAAACTTACACTTCGTGTCCTCCACCACACCCGAGTGGATCAATGTATCGTTCGTGTAAAATGATCCATTCTGGGCAACACGAATGAAACCTAATTCATCATTGGCATATTGATGGGATGGTCTGGAGAGAAGGACGCTAACCTTGCCAAGGCCGGCAAAACCTTTTCTGGATTCCCACTGCCTCCCCACAGAGTGCTGCCATGCCCTTGTGAGTCGATGGCGTAAGTCTTGAATCGGAGAGTCCAGGATATGAATGGCTGCCCCCTCATCATCCCGAAAAATCCCATCTGCAACATAAGTCCACAGAACATTATTAAGCCTGGTAAGCAACACACCTCCAGGTCCTGGCTTCCTTTTCCTGGATGATATGGTGGCTGCAGGCGCCAAGGTCAGGTCTAACAATTCAACCGGGATATTTCGGCGAAATTGCAGGACTGTGGCTATGGGTGCATAAAATTCAGGGTCTGCCGTGGGATTGGTCATAAGTGATAGTTGGATCTGTGGGTTGGCACCTGCTTTGGTACACCCTAGGGCATTGAAGGCACCTGCCCTCGCATCGACAAAGATAGCATTACCTATGTGAACGGTGGCAATTGCATACATAGCCCTGGGCCAGGCAACTGTGCGGAGTATTTTAACTTTTTGGTCATAGGAAGCTTGGCTGCGGGCAAGCTGATGCCACAGGTCTGGCAAGGCTTTGAATTTTGAAGTTACTGTATAATTAGTTCTCCTGGCGTCGAACTGCATGTGTGCCCCCAAATCCCTTGCGGCGGTAACTAGGGTGTCTTGGCTATCCCTAATCTGTTGCCTTCCCTGAGCTGAGCACGCCCATCTATACGTCTTTTTCTGATCCAACTGAATGTCCAGTAGGGAGCAAAACCCCGACAAGGAGTGCAAAGCATCAGTTGTCTGCTGGACTGTGGAAGATAGCAACTCATAATTATCAACGTAGGTGGAGAAAGTAACCTCCGGATGTTTGCATTGCAAAAACGCATGAATGAGGGTATTGATAAGCACCATTGCCACAACCGACATTCCACATCCTTCCACAAAACCTGTAGTGGAGCCAACTTGAGCTGAGGGGGAGTTTTTCACAACGAAATGTCTTTTCAGTTGGGTGGCAGCTGATGCCCACGCCCGGATGATGTCAGGGTGGACACCCATGCATTTAGCAACTTGAAAGGTAACCTCACGTGGCAAGTGATTAAATGCCTTGACAATATCTGATGTAGCTCCCGTCAACGGCTCGGATGCCTGGAGGGCCAATTCGATACGGTGCTGCATCGTCCACAAGTAATGTGGGAGGCACATGCTGGCGCAAATGCAGTAGGACCTCTCGCGATCTAATTGTAGTGTAGATTCGATATGCCAGCGGCATCACTGTAATCGGTCTATACTCATTCACAGTCTGTGCCTGAGGTACTTTCTCGAGTGAGAAGACCGCTCCTTGGAGTAATTGGCGTGGCCACTGGCCCGTTTTCTCCGCATGAGCAAAGATTTGGATGAGTTGGAGGTGTAATTCATCAGGGAAAGACAAAAGATCTTGCCTTGCCACTGCATCCAGCCCGGTAGCTGATCGATGCTTCTTTGCTTGAATTGCTTGTTTCCATCTGGAAAGTGTAATCGGGGTCAATGGCATGACTGGGCAATGCAGCAAAGTTTGTGTGAGGGTAAGTACCTCATCCCAGTGGGCAGGATCTAAATGTCTATGACGGTCCCATCGCTTAACCCATTCCTTGATGAATGATTCGTGGATTTCATTGGGATTGCCTTGTAGCTTGATATCAGCAAGGGTATCACCTATGGTTAAGGTGTGGGGGCTAGTGAACCACACCTGACCTTCCTCGATGTGTATCACATGCATGGGACCTGAACAGGATTCGAGGACGGCTGCATGCTGGATAGCATCCGAGTTGTCAACCACAACTGAGCCTTCATCGACAACTTCAACCACATGTGCAACTGACTTAGCAACTAGCATACTGACTGGCACAGGCATTGGCTTGCGGACATCTTTGAATACTCTGTTGACATCTGAGGCTCGGTTGGCCTTGGCAATGGCAATGCGCTTGGCAATAATGCGTGATTCAAATGCACCAAGGTGTTGACTGAAGACCTGCGAAATATGTTGCGCAACTTCAAGAGAGGGTGGTACCAGTGGGAGCCATGGCAGCAAACTTGGGTCATCAATAGTTTGTCTCTGCCACCATAGGGTGAAACCTCCCGGAAAACCAGAGGCCATGACGATCGCACGCCAGATTGCAGCTCTTTGCTCAAGGGCACTGACAGCGTCACTATTTTTCCGCAGGTGCTTGACATAGTGCTGAAGCCGTCTGCATTGCGTGGTCCACCTGCAATGGGTCAATGTCCATGTATTGACCGTTGGTTGGTGGTCCCCTTGCCTGCCTGATCGGATAGCAACAATCTGCGGTTTACAGAAGGTCCTTTCTAAGGTTTGTCCTCTACCACACTGAGAGGGGTGGAGACCCCTCATACCATTCTGAGTGCGTACCTGAGAAACATGTGTCTCAAAGGTTTGGCAGATGGCAGCATATTGCTGGGTAGGGTCCTCATGAGTGGCTGCGGGAAGACAACTTACCTTAGAAATATCCTGAGGAGTTAATTGTTGGTAATCGATATTCTGAGGTCTCGGCCATCTTGCAAGTGGAACTGGTTTGGAAGGAAAATCAAACAGCCCTAGCAGTGTGGAATGATCAGGGAATTTGTCAAAAGTGTTGCTGCAGCTTTTGAGCAAGACTTGCAATTGGGGGGACACATAGACATAGTCTTTACGAGAAACTTGACAGCATGTAGGTCCTGGGACTATTCCCCATTGCTCATTTGCCCACGTCTGGATATCCTTCCATCCCCTGGATTCCCATTTAAGTGTCTCCGACAGGGTACCCGGTGTCTGATTGAAGTCACCTGCTATGAATGAAGGCCCTGGGAAACCTTCAACTACTTGCTTAGTAAGCTGGGCAAGAAGGCTGTCAGTGAGGTCCTGGGTAGCCTTGGAGTCCGCCGCATGAGCATACCCGTAACAAACTGCGCCCGCAATGCAATGATTATTGATTTGAAATGTTGCTGCATGAAGGCGACTCGTTTGGTACAACTCGGTATTCCATCCTATTCGAATAGGACGGGCAGGATATGAGGAGAGGAAGCCAACTCCAGTGTGTTTGCCCCCAACGGCTCTCATGTTGGCCTTTTTATAAGGGGCATCAGCTCCTGTGGTCAAGGTGAACGGACTTTTAGCATACCACAGCTCTTGGTTGAAACGCACTTTGCCTCGGGAGGTGAGATGGGTTTCCGAAATGGCATAAATGCCCTGGGGCAAATCTGCGAACAATATGGCTTTGCTAGCAAGGCCAGTTGGGTTAATGGCTCCTATTGCCCATTTGGAAGGCGGCTCAGCGTCTTGTGGGGGCCCTGGAACTGCGGCTTCACCCAACCTCTGCAGCTGGTTATATGGGTATCCTGTGTGGTGGAAAGGTGGCTTGAGACTAACGCTCGGGATATGGATTGAAAGGATGCATTGGGTGTATATCGTCTCGGTTGGTAAGTGAGCGCATGAACCTGGGAGGACATTATGGTGACCCAGAGTAGTCCTCATTCTGGGAAAACCCTGGGAACTTGGGGGGCCAGTCATCTCGAGAACTCCAACTGGTGAGGTCCTGTGGGCACGGAGAACTCCGATTGAGTGCTGCAGCATCATCAGGGAATCCGGATCTGCCTCAACGTCTTGATCCGTCATCACTTGGTAAGGGTTAGGCACTGCATTAATTTCTCGAGCTGGGAGGTCTCCAACAAGATCTACAATGTCTAAGTCAATCCCCTGATGAATTGCAACCGCAACACAGCGTGTCGGCAATGTGGCATGTATTTCGTTGGGTGGAGGAGCATGAATGGCAAGGTAGTCACCATCCTGAATGTCATGAACCTCCTCTGAATCCTGTGACCACGTACCTTCATTGTGGTGAACGATGCAGGGCAGGGCATTGTACGCACAATATGGTTGGAGGTACATCGACTGGATAAATTGACGGGCTGTAAGCCTAGGCAGGACGTACATAGCCTTTCTTATTGTGGTCTTGTCCCAAGAAGGTGGCGCCGGATGGAAAACTACATCAATTGAGGACAAGTGCCAACTCACTTTCGTCAGGCAAATCATCAATACGTCTGACTACTCTTCCGAATAAACGTCGTTCAACCAAGTCTGCAGGGGGTGCATGAATGGGAAAATCTCGGAGGACCGTGCCTTGTTCCCAGCCAAAAGCTCTGGTGATTTGATACAAGCGTGTGCGAGGACTGACTAGTAGCAACTGCCTCAAAACAGGTTCACATGTAGGTGAAAATAGGATGGTCTCCTGCCAATTAGGGTCAGTACTGCTGGATTCTTCATCTGATGAGGCTGGCGTAGGTGGACCTGGTTCGTTTTGTAGAGCGACATGGTCCATCATAGCGGCAGAAGGGACTGGTTGTTGGATTCTTCTCTGTCGAACTCCATGGGCTAAGAGTGACGTGGCATCCTGCTCTACGATGATGTCATCCAACTTGCTTTGGTTGCAACTGGCTTTCTCACCTACTCCAGATTGCGAAAAGGGCAGAACTCTTCGACTGATATGAACCCGTTTCTGAATCATTGCAACTTGGCCTCTGGGAGATGCTCCTTGGTTGGGCTGGGCAAGATTCGGAGGAGTACGGATAATCCTGAGGTGAATACTCGTACCAGGGCGTCCTGGCCAGAGTCGCCCAGGCAACAGCTGGTATTGTTGGATCCAAGCAAAACACCTTAGCACTTGCATGGCCCAAGTGCAGGTGGTTGGATATCCACATACTTGGACAACTTGTTCGATAGTGAAATGTTCAAATGTCGTGATCACCAGTCGTACGAGAGCGCCGCTATTCACCTGAGTGAAAACATCATCATCAACTGAGACAAGACTCGATTCCCATTCAGGTCTTGGGGATTGAACAAGGATAACGTGGGCCACTACACCAGGTTCAAGCCGTGGGGGAGCAGGCATCACCAGAGACATTTCAAGTGTTTGCGCAGGATCTATCAGGTCTACCCACCGATCTCGGATCAGCTGCTCCCATTCATGAAAGCGATGATCAAGAATGACACTTCTGCCCTCATCACAAATCGGAAAATGAAAGCGATGATCCACAAACCAGGTAATTGCTTGTGTCTGTTGTTCAACTTGCTCTTGCCATGCAAATGCAAGAAGATTTCTTGCATGGTAAAGATCTTGGACAAACTCCGTTTGGGATTCCAACGTCGGGGCACCTGGGACAAACACTGGGGCATGAATGTTGAACTCATAGTGCATAGGTTCTTCATTGGAGTTAGGCAAATCAACCGCATTGATATTAGTAGACCCACTTGGGCCGTCCCTGATGGAGGGGGGCTCACTTCCTCTTACTGGCCCTGAAGGTGTGGATGAGCTTTGACCTGACTGAAACGTAGGGTTGCCCGGGCTGGAGTGGGTATCTTCTCTTACCTCACTTTGGGTGGAAAGTGATATCTCCTCAGGGTCAACAAGGAGATGAATTCCCATTCCGTCCCTAGCCTGGAAACTCTGTTGGTGCGGGTCAAGCTGTGGGTGGTTCCATTGCAAGAAGTCAGCATATTCAGTGGCAATGGGTGATAATTGCAATACGTCCTGCCTGGTGCATTGGGAAGGCAGTGCTAATGCACATCTGAATATCATTGGGCGAGGGTACTGCAACTCAACCACCAATAAGGTGGACACCAATGCTGATCTTCGTTGCGTTATGAGTATATGGGCTATGTGTTCCTGAACCGACAGTCTGGCCATGATCGGGTGAACCATGTTGATGTGGACTCGTTCGCCTTGGATGAGTCTGTGCTGCCACGGGAACAAAATGTCGCTTTCCCAATCCGGTGGGTATCCTCCAAGTGTGGCAAGTTTGGCCTCGGAGGACTTGGTTTCGGTGGCATGATCAAGAAACCAAGTATAAACTGTGAATAAGACCTCTTCTGGGTACTCTGCCTGACATTGGGACTCGAGCTGCGCTACTCTGCGTTGCAAGTCTATATACCAGTCTTCCGGTATGCTCGATGAGCTGGAGTCAAGACTGGCTTCTACATTGCTGAGAGTGGCTGACATCTGCATTAGGCAAGCCCCTGCCGCATTTGTTTTGGCAGAGAGGACGGAAACGGGACCAACCGCAACCTCTGCAACTGGTTTAGGATTTACCAAATGCACATTCCACCAATCTTGGACAGGGGAAGTCCAGAACTTGCCAATTAGGGGAAGTCTGCAACTTGGCACTTCACAACTGCCTGCATTCGACAAGGGGAAAACATAATTGCTTTCTGGTCCTTCTCTGGCTCGAGTCCATCTGTGAGAATACCTTCCAATGGAAGAGGTCAAAACTGGAGGGAAGACATACTCAATGACACTATCAGCTATGGTTCCGGTTTGGAGACTTGGCCAGGCGTAAGGGGCACACACCAGAGCAAACTTCGTCACATCAGCGTCATTCGTGGCACATAAAAGGAGGTCCGGGAGTTGTACGGCTCTGTGGCTACCAGGCGTCAAACTCCGGGGGCTGCGCCTACCAACTTTAACCTCATCACAGTCAGGCCATGGGTTGCAAGAGAAATGGTCATGGCATCTATCCCATTGTGAGTCAAGCTTATTAATTCGACCAAAATTGCCTGGCTTCGCAGGTCTGAGGAGAAAAGGAAGATTTACATCGAGACGGCCGATGTCAACTGGGTCACGTGCTTCGACGTGGCTTACTTGCATATTGTGTCTGGCGATAAAAGGATAGATACCTCTTACTGGCATAGGCCTGAAAGTTGATGTGGCGGCCCCTGGGTAGAAAGCCGGAACAAAACTGAGACCTTCACTGCATACCGGGAAGTTATTCTGAGCATCTTTCTGCGAACTTGCATCAACGCGGAATGAAGTCTGCAGAGTTTGACCAACTGAACCACATCCATATGGACCAGAATACTGTGTCATCCGATCAAAACTGGGAGAACCATACCTGCCTGACTGTAAGTCTGCACAGTTACCGAACATCCAGGCCTCACTTCTGGCATCACTGTGACAACGACAACCCCCAAAAACCTTGCCTTCTTGGTCATAATCAAAAGGTGCTGGTTGTCGATGGGGAGTACAGGTTTTGTCAGCCACTGCAATGGACCATGTTAGAGCCATCAACAAAAGGCGGAGTGTGGGCGTAATGGGTTTGCCAAAAGCAACCCACCGCCCGTACCGTCATTCATTGGAGCGAGCCCTCTTCACGATTAAGGCCTCGATTCTTTGCATTTGTTCAGAGAGTTTGGTATCTAAGGTCGCTTCGAATTTGGTCGCTTGTTGTTCGACCTGAGAATGGATGTAGTCGACCTTACTCTCGATGACACCGGAACGGTTCTGCAGGGCAGCAATCTGTTGTTCCAATTGCACAACACGAGGCTCAAGCGTAGGTGCCATTGAAACATCAGTCTCATCAACCGCAGTTTGAAGGCGCTTGGTCAGTTTCTGCTCCAGGTTAGCCTCAATCTTAGCTATCTGAGCTTGTGAGACACTCTCAGCTCTGGGGAGATTGCGTGCTGCTTCAGCCCAGGGATCAAATTCTACTTCTTTCTTATCCCTGAATTCGCTTGTGGCAGCCTGCACCTGTGGTGGCCTCCATGGTTCCTTCAACGCTGAGGATTCCTGATGTATAACTACATCTCCATGCTGCAACTGGAAGACCAACGCTGCTGGGGGAGAGGCGGCATGGACTAGCCACATAAGTCCACTGGAATCCTTTGCTTTTGCAATGGTGTGCACTGGTCTTGCCTGCCATTGCCACTGAGCAAACAGGGACTGAATGGCCTTCTTGGTAGTGCCCCAGGGAAAAGGGCCAACACGGTAGGTGGCTTTACTGGCCCCAGCAATAAATGGCTCATGTGGATTGATCTGCGTGTGCACGTGTTCTGCCATATCAATGATTACCTTGAAACCATAGCGGAAACCTACCCGAATCAGAGACACTGGGGTCGTGAGCATGGCCTGCAGTGCCTTGACTTCAGAGAGAGGTTGTCTCGGAATCCAGATGGTGTGGTACTTGGGGTCCTGTCCCCGCCCGTCATCAGCACGTGGCTCGACATACAAACCTCCGGTGCCAGACATTCTGAAAAGACCATCATACACGTCCGAGGTTACTCGCATGGCAACAACGTAGATCTGGGCGTCTGTTTGTCTAATTTTTTGGAAGTGAATCGAGAGATAGTCTCTCTGCCACACATCTAGTATTGGAGTATCGGACTGCTTCATGGCTGGGTGCCACTTAGCGCAGCTGCAGTCGGTCTGCTTACACACTTGCAAAACCTCAGTCATGCTAATTATGTACTTGACCGGCGCATTGGTAACAGTCTGCCATTGGTCATGCAGTTGGTCCCTGTACAAGAGGCATTTGATCGTCTGCGTCTGCACCTGCTCTACTGCGGTGGGCTGAGCAGGGATGTTCCGAACTATGTGGACAGCACCTCTTTGCAACAACACTGCAGAGACTAGCATAGGCTCTGATGTGACCTTACTCTGCACGGGAAAACGCACTACTTGACCTTGCTGGGCAATGGTTTCTGAGTACGGAGACAGGACCAAAAACCCAATTCCAACTCCAGCGGCAGGGGCATGTTGTAGATATGGCTGCACTTCCTGCTCAGAAAACGCAACAACTCCATGTAAGTTTTGACCCAGCTGCTGTGGATTCAAGTGGGACACTGGTTCTCCAGACTGCAGGCGAAAAATACCATGTGGGATTAGGATATCTTCAGGTCGAACATGCTGAGGCATTTGCAAACCCTGCGGGGCTTTTCCTTTGGCCTGGACTGATTTCTTATCCTTAGCCCTGGACTTGATGACACTCTGTAGTTCATCTTCCAACACCAGGCGTATAGGAGGTTTGTGACTGGACGCGAGCTGTTTGAGTGCTTGCCATGGTCGACTACTCTGGAAGACCGCATTGAGAGATTGCCCTGGGAAACTACGGATCAAAATTGCTGCTCTCTCTGGGAGGCGGCTAGCAAAAACTCCATGTTCTCGCAGGATTGCTTGCAATGCAGTCTCAAGCTCACTTTGTCCACCTAACACAAATCTAATCACAGGTTTGGGATTTGTGACCAACGATTGCCAAAACAAATGTCTCCACCCCCAGGCTTCTGCAACTGACAACGACGCAAGTGGCGTTTGTGTGCTCTGACTGACTAGCCACGCAAAGGCACGAAAACCACAATCATGATCAAAGGACGGCGGTAATGCATCATGAACCTGAATTATGGTTTGCCACCACGGGAAGAGGAGCTCCCATACTTGGATTCCCTCAAAGGTCGTGTGAACCGTGATTCCATCATCAGTGGGGACCAACCATACCGGAATCCAATGATATTTGAACCATAGCGCTGTGACGGTGGCTTCCTGGACTGGTAGAAAATTCATCCATTTATCAGCGGAATATACCATTTGTTGGGCATTGAATTGGTTGATATGATCCACCCCCTCAATCCATATCTGTGCATCCACCAAGAGGTCTGTCATACCGTCTAAGATGAACGGCGGCTTGGCTTTAGCAAGTCCAACTGCAGAAATGGCGGTGAGGTAAAACATCATTTCATCTGAAGCTACTGCAGGCCCTTGTAATAGAGCTGATTCAATGCGAGGCATGTGAACTAGCAGGTTGGTAACTGTGGCAAGGTCTGAGGCTCCACGAAACACTGGTGTACTTCCGGTGATAATCCACTTCAGCTGAGTCAGCAAGGTATCTGGTGCAATAGAGGAACCAAAGAGATCCCATGTCGCCTGTGCCTGTGCTCCTAAAGCTTCATTAGCCTGGCACCATTGAGCAAAGGTCGCATCATGAGCACATTTTTGATGGGAAATGATATGCATGTCTGCATCATACACCAAAACCCCTGGCTCAATCAACTCTCTTGGGGAGGGACTCAGCTGATGACAGGTGGGCTGAGTTTCCCCTATCGGCTGCTTGGGACCTGACTGCTGAGTATGGGAGACCTTGGAGGACCCTGTGGCAAAAGCCGAGATGGCACCTGATGCTTCCCACATCGGTGATGTGAGCGGCGACATCACTGCTGGATTGGTTATTGAATTATGAGACAACGAAGGTGAAACTGCAAAATCGGAGACTGCTTTGGCTGTGTCGGTTGCAAAGGCTGGTGCGGTGCCTGATTGGTGAAACAACTTAAATTCAGAGGATTTGTGAACCTCAGAACCTTCATGCATGTCAAAACGGTGAGACTCCGGATGGCCTTGGTTGACCTCTGGCGCATCTTCTGTACTGGGACTTTGTGCAACCTGCGAGGAGATTGCTGGCTGCATAGCGTTCACATGTGGTGCATTCTCATGATCTGCTACAACCCTGGATGGGCTCAGTGGGACATGGGCATCGGCTGCATTGATAGGGATGGAACCACTCGAAACACCAGGCATAGTGTCTTTCCCGAGGGCATGAGATGTGCCATGGACTTTCGGACTTGTCTGCCCTTCGTGGATCCCGGCATCCTTGTTTTCCTCCCTGGGTGCGGCCTGACCTGCATGGGATGGATTGCCTTGCTTTTCACCCGCACATGAGGTTTCAAGCTTACGAACTTCCGTCAAAAGGACTTCTTCTTGACTGGTAGTCATTTCATCATGAGTCATAGGATCAGTATTTTGACCTGAAGTTGGTTCCTTGGTCAACAGCCATTCATCAAAACTTTCCTGAAACAACTGTGTCGATACACTGGTATTGTTGGGCGTCCATTGATCTCGCAAGTCAAACAAGTCAGTAGTGACACATGTCAGGATTTCCTTAGGAGACATATGGGGCCCAGGGATGATCTTGGAATCCACTAAGTGCTGTCTAATCATTGCAAAAATCCATGCGGCTTGAATGGGGGATGCAACCTGTCCAAGGCCTGCAAGCAACAGTCTAGGGTGAGCATCCCAACCATCCTTCCTAGGAAATCCAGTAAGAAGCGCTACTTCTTTGGGGGCGATATGACGGAGATTCTGGTCTGGTGGCATTCCTGGCACATGAATAAGCGCTCCAAACAGACCATGCTTGGATAATCGTTCATGGCTAAATGGTCCTCTGCATCCACAGCTGCATGCAATCAGCTGATTTCCCCATGAATGCAACGCTGTTGGCAATGGTAAGTTCTTGTCTACCACGTTGGCTCCTATTCCCTTTCCATATGAAGGAAGCAAAACCCTTACGCTCATCAGGTGACAACAGAAGGAGTTGTAACTCGGCTGGGTCTAAGGTCATAAACTGCGGCAGCAAGCAAGAAATTGAGATGTCCATCCCAAGCTTAGGCAGTGGCTGAAGGGGAACTTTGCCAATGTATTGTTTGACAATCACTGTCCACCAACGACGCCGTTTGGAAGGCCACATGTCTGCTAATTCAAGAAGAACTTCACTTCTATCACTTGAAGTCATTTCCATATGGTAATCCAAACAGGCTAAAACGTATGTAGAGGTGGCAGCTCCTGGGACACATTCGCACACAACTATGTCTTTCTGCAAAAGATGGGCAGCATAAAGGCTATATGGTAGGCTTAAGGCCCTAGGATCCAACCCTTCTCGCTTATCTCCAGCAGAGCTATAAGGCTGACACGCAAACCCGAAAGCAATGGTCCCTGCCCGGGGGTAAGCCTTATGCAAAGCTATAATCGTGTGCATATTGTCTATATCTCCTTCGATGATAGGCACTGGGCTACTTTGCTGTTGCAACTTCACAAAATTGGCATTGAGGTCATTTTGCGCATGGAGTGTCCAACCTGCATAGGAAGCACCACACGCAATTCCACCAAGGCCTGAGCACGTTTCAACTAGCTCTGTCATACGAGCTTGATCTTCTGTTGGGTGTATGAGAAGCTCGGCCTTCTTGTCAATCACCAACATCAGCCATCGATAGTAAGTCTTGGCAGCATTAAGAATTGTAACCTTCGGACAACCAACTTCTGTAGGCAATGGAGCTGCTAAGCGAAACCTTTGGCCAGTAATCACTCCTTGGCACCAATGTCCTCCATCTGTAAGGTCATCTCGGATCAAAACCTTCGCCACTAAGTTACATCTTTCCCCATTGCCCAATGGCCAGATCGAAGGCTCATAGTCAAGGTGGCCCTTCCAACGTCCAGCACCAATGACGCGCTTCGAAAACTCCATGAGACAAAAACACGGGTGACCAACGAGGCTCAAATTAGTTGAACCAGCCGCACGTGGCTGGGACGTATTGAGCCAGTACGGCTAGTTTTCAAAACCCTCTGTCATCCCATTAGGGCCGTCGTGGTTGGTTGAGAACAGGATTCTGGTCATCCCCAATTCATAGTGGGTAGATCGCAGCCACTGCTCAGGTGCAAATCTTATTTATACAAGTATTAAATATACATGGAAACTATAATATATATATATATACCCTCTGGTAAACTAACATAGCTATTGAAAATCACCATTTTAATAGGTAAAACATCTATAAATGGTCCATTTTCAATAGCTATTTTGACATAACCAGAGGGTACATGATATTATGTGATATTGTGGGATGGCTGGAAAATTCTTGACCCAGTTGTGAGTTGTAAATGATCATCTGATCATATCCACTCATATCCCCATATTCTTGATTGTTAAAACCACAAACCAAATTATTAATCATCAACCCAGCTCAGTCCTCAGTCCTTCATGGATTTCAATCTGTTTCAAACATCAACCCCAATCAAACTACCATCTGGTTATGACTAACAGTTCGCCATGGAAAATCACCATTTATAGTGGATTTTCCCATTAATAGCATGGTGATTTTCCATAGCTATGTTGAATTACCAGAGGGTATACCATCATATATCCTAATAAATCCCATTAAATTCCATTAAATCCCATTAAATTCCATTAAATTCCATTAAATCCCATTAAATTCCATTAAATTCCATTAAACCCCATTAAATCCCATTAAATTCCATTAAATTCCATTAAACCCCATTAAATCCCATTAAATTCCATTAAATCCCAGATTTCAATCATCAACCCTCAACTTAAATTACCTATCATCAACTTCCGCAACATCCCGCAACCGGGATGGCCTTGGATTCGCCCGCGGCCATCCACAAGCAGCGCATGGTCGGCAGCGCGCTCTGCAGTGGCAGGCGCCACTGGGGCGTGGCCATGTGTCCCAGGCAGACGCTGGCGGCCTGGATGAGGTGGGCCATGATGTCTGGAAAGTTTCTGGTAAACATCCAGAGGGTACCAGGTGGTACATGACTTACCCTCTGGTAGACTAACATAACTATGGAAAATCACAACATGCAAAAAACGGATGGGAAAATCAGCATTTTTAATGAGAAAAAAACTATAAATGGGAAGATCAACTATAAATAACCATCCACAAAATCTGGTTGGTGGTTGTGAGCCTACCCCTCTGAAAAATGATGGAGTGAGTTCGTCAGTTGGGATGATGACATTCCCAACTGAATGGAAAGTCATAAAATTCCATGGTTCCAAACCACCAATCAGTTTTGGTATGTTTTTATATACATGGTTTTTGAATGAAATGATAATAGGCAATCTTTGAAAAATAGACAATGATGCCTGGCGTTGTTTTTTTACATGAAGAAAACCAGACAATGATTCGACAATGATAATAGTAAGAATGATAGGAAAAATGATAGTGATTTTCATAGCCATAGGAATACTAATAGTTAATAGTAATGGTAATAGTACTAGTAATAGTAATAATGATAATAATGACGATGATGTTGCTTGGGTTGGGTAAATGATTCATTGATGTGCTGATGAGCTTCTTGTTGAATAGATGATGCGATATGATCATTGAGATCATCGATTGCAATTACAGTGTGCTACTTTAACCATCACAAGTTTGGGAGTTGATCATCAAAAATATGGTGCAAAAACTAGGGAAAGGAAACTTCACAGCTCCATAGTTAGTGGCATGGTTTTTTTGGGGGATCTCGATGATTGATCAATAAATGGACGGGATATAAGTGCTAAGAATTCTGCTCGATCATCAATTCTCTGGTGCCCCTCGACCTCCCCAGCGGTAGAATAACTGACCAACTTCAATGTCTCAGGGTGGTGGGTTGTTTCGGAACTCGATTCAGGCTGGAATTCTGGAGTTCATGGGGCTTCACAGGGGTTCAGTGCTGGCCAATAGGGAGATCAAAGCAAAAGAACATCTCACTGCATGTGGTGGTTGCAACCCATCCTAAATTGCAATTCTTGGAGACCTGAATGGGTATGGGTCAATACCTATAGATACATTTTTAGTGGGTTATTCACATCCATAAATCCCAGCTATGACTTGGGGTTCACTAGGTACCAGGGTTTTGACCCATCCCCGAATAATCCTCCCAAGGAAAAAAACAATTCCAAGCAGTCGCCACCCATTTTTCCCGCTCGCACCTTGGCCACGTCCGGGTCGCTGCTGCGCACGGCGTTCAACATCAGCTCTACTGCCGCGTCCATGTCGGGGCAAAGGCCTCGGGTTCCACGTAGTCATGGGGATCCTCGAAATGGATGGTTTACATACGGAAAATCCCAATCTAAAATGGATGATTTGGAGTACCCCCCATCTTAGGAAACCTCCAGATGAAGAGTCAACAATTCGATGGATGGCTTTGGAGAATCTGCAGGGAACCATTGGTTTTTACACTAAATATCGATGTTTCCTGCAGGTTTTCCCTGAAAGCAATCCATCAAATGAAAAAGGCCAAATTTAGCCTTTGTGACAAATGGGGATAATGGGGTTTGATCAGCAAAACATGGGAATAATAATATTGATATCCATGAATGATGGTTGGATGCTGGTTATACTAGCTAGCGGCTTTAATTGAAATGTTTATCCTCCAGTAATCAGCTCCGTGGCTGGAAAAAATCCCCATGTTGTGAAACAACGATTTCGCCAGCAAAACCTCCGCCATCAGAAGTTCCCAGCCACCTTGGATGATGATTTTCCACATGGAGTTTGTGGTAGCATCCCATCGCTGAAATGATGGATGGATGGAAACCAACTGGATTTTCCAAGCGCCATAGGAAAGTTGGACACATTGGACACCTGATCCCATCCTCCCATCCTCCCCTCAGAGCCCCAGCTCGGTGGTACTGTGGCGGAATAGAACTTCAACACGCCCCCCAGCGCTTGCAACGCATGTTGCAGCTCCTCAAGGGGTTGGAAAGCTGCTGGAGAAACGGGGGGAAATATGGAGGAGTTCCAGAGTCTGGTAATTGAAGAGTTTGCTGTTGAAAATGGCCATAGAAATAGTTGATTTACGTATTAAAAATGGTGATTCTCCATAGCTGTGTTAGTTTACCAGAGGGTAGCTGTTAAAAATTGAAAATTCACCAACAATGAACCGCTTAACCTGTGCTTTGGGGCCTAGTGGTGGGTGAGAAACAATGGAAGTTAAGTTATCAAACTTTGGGAATTTCAGGCCAAATACTGGGAAGAGTCTTTTGCTTCTTTAGGGGCCCGAATCAACCAAGGATGAACTCCACCAGTTAAACATACGATGAGAAGGGGTGAACAAAATAAATCAAGGTAAACCAACAAGGATCGTGGCATTGGTTCATGAATCGAATGTGGAATTTCAATGGATTTAAACCAAGCAGAAAAGGATAAGTAAGCAGCAAGAACATGGTGATACAAGGTGCAAGAGTAAGAACATTAGCAATAACAAATGGCAAATGATGTCGAATCATGTCATCTCACATGGTCTTCGAGGAAATTCTCACAAAGTGCTGATTTCGGGGTTACACATTTCTTTTCGTGCATCCAACCATTCGTGTGGTCAACCCACTAAGAGTCACCAAATCCCATGTGCCATGTGGCCTACCAAAAATTTCCCGATAGAAAAATAGACCAAAATCCATAGCCATCAAAATGGTTGATGCACGTCATTGGGTTGATGCAGTTTACCATCAGTTTACCCTCTGGTAAATTAACAGTTTGCTATTGAAAATTGCCATAGAAATAGTTGATGGTAAATTAACATAGCTATTGAAAATGGCCATAGAAATAGTTGATTTACCCATTAAAAATGGTGGTTTTCCATAGTTATGTTAGTTTACCAGAGGGTAGATGGTGACTTTCCAGTTCGCAAAATGTAAACGTTTACCATCCGTTTACCACACGTGATTTTCCCGACCTTGGAGAGTCGCTCGTCCATCAAGCGGATGGTCTTTGTAAGCTCCTGCGTTTCGTTGTGTGCCGTGCGTGTGCATAAAAGCGTATGATATACATGTGTATATATATATATATGTATATATATATATACAAAGATACATACGCACAATATAGCTATCTATGTATCTACCTATCTACCTACCTATCTACCTACCTATCTATCCATCTATCTATCCATCTATCGATCTTTCTAAGATAATGGTCATATAGTCTGTAGTGGCTACTTTTGGTGGCTACTTTTTGGAACCAAAGTTCGACCCTGGAAACTTGATATCGACCTCGTAAAGCGATGCAGTATGCAGAAGAATGGCTCCCTGGACCTTTTGTTTTTCCGGAGTGGCGCTTCGGTTTCACACTACGGTGGGTGGAAGAAATCCTGCACCACCTTGGATGGTTAAAACCCTATAAATAATGGGATAAACCACCTATCAACTGGTGCAGGATTTCTTCCATCCACAGTATGTTGGTGGCAAAATCAAGAAAAATGTGGGGATGCAACCAACAAATGATCACAAATAATCATGGTCTTTCAGGATGCAACTCCAAAAAATGCCAGTGGTTTTTGTTCAAACTTTTGGGCCCAAGAGGTGATCCTTTTTGAAGGGGGGGCATGGAAGCGGCGAGGGGAAAAAACAAAACAACATGTGTAAACCCAAGACATATCATGTTGCATCATGTTATATCATGTTACATCCACTCTAACTCCGATATATCCTACATATCCACTCAAAACTATAGATATATCCTACATATCCACTTTGAACCATAGATTTATCCTACATATCCACTATAAACTATAGATATATCCTACATATCATAAACCATAGATATATCCCATCGTCAATCCCCTCCAACTATATATTTCCACTAGAAACCTCAGTTAACCTTGGTGAAAATGGATCATGTAACCTGCTGCAACGGTACGCAGCCACTCCTTGAGCACCTCAGGCAGTTGGTCTTGAAAGTCCTGAAAGGTCGGAGTGGCAGCGGCGGGGTGGTTGTTTGGTTCTTCATATATCATTTAGTCATCAATATCTATAGATGTGTATATATATATATGTAGACTATATGTAGTCACAATCTATAATGCACTTTGTCAATAATGAATTCTCTATAATAAGTCTCATGGGTATATACAAAAAAAAATCCAGGTCATCTAAACTAATGATCCTAAACCAGATTTGCCAAGCACATACAATAGACTTTTCATACCCTTCATTCACGATTTACCAAAAAAAATGCCACAGCATGTACGTCGGTTTGGATGTTTTCTGGGAAACATGTCGAGAAATGTATGCCATTCACGAATGATCGTTCATGATATACTCCTGTGGATCAAAAGCAACTAACCAACTATCCTCAAATCTGGCAAGAAACATCCAAATGGTATATTCGACCTTGATCTGCGCACGGTCAAAATTATCACCAAAAGAATGGTCCAATTCCATAGCACGGTCAGAATCGGATCTGGCCCACCATTTTTCATGATTTCACCCATCCGACATCCAGTCGTCATGGACCACTTTCCACAGGTGAAGCCCAGGTGATCCAACCCATCCTCCAGAGACTCCCAGGTGAGTCTGGAGAGAGCTTTCAGACTGACAGAGAGGCCCTCTTTGTTCTGACAACCTGAGTGTGGGGGGGAAGAAAGGTACACAACCGTACGGGGAGGGCTGCAGGGGTTACTAAGTTACTAAATGGGTATGGGATTTGAACCTCCAAAAGTTGGGATACTGACCACTACAACTATGGTGAAAAATGACCCACTTGTTAGTTGGACTACACCCCCAAGTACTTACTCATCTGTTCTGTGGATGCATTACTTCAGAGTGAATATGGAGATGTTGGGGTATCTATTGATGGAAATGTTGCGGAATGTTGCGGATATATTGGAGATCAAACACCATCTGTGGCGAGGACGTCTTTCTATGTCATGCAAAAGGTTGAATCAAACCGATTGGTGACGGAGGCACCTGGAATCAAACCGACGTGGAAAGAAAGTCCGATGACTCATCCAGTGTATTGGGATGAGCGATAGCTCTTGACGACAGGCCAAAACGTGGACCCATGTTACTCCTGATACAATTTTCAATCAGCACATTCCATTGTTGTCAAAATATTGTTGTTGTTTCAACAAAGGTATGGAGTTCCGAATCACGCAAGCGTCGAACCTCTGTGTGTGTGTGTGGAGTATCTTTGTGGTTTCCTTGGACTGTGTTGTGTTCAGACCTGATGTCGCCCATGACCTTTTGTTGTAAAGACTTGTAGCAGCAAGTTCCCTACAGATGTCATGTCTGACCAAACCTCATGTGTCCAATCCCCAACCGTTCACCCACTTACTCACGCCGTTCAGGGACAAACGTCCACTACGCACGTTCCCCTTCAAATTACAGTGATGAAATCCAATTCAGGCTACAGCAACCAGGTCAAGAACATGTGTATTTTTCCATGCAGATGCATTTACCCTTGATTTTTCACGAGTTTTTCTGGAAATTCTCAACAGAAATCACACAGAAATCATCCTGCGAGGCCCCAGACGTTCCAAGAGTCTCAAGATCGTCAACGGACCACCCACCTTCGTTGCGTCGCAGGAAATCATGTAACAGGTTAGCTGCCGCTTATTGTTGCGCCGCTTAACTGGAGTTAACGATGCCAAGTTAAGGATCGCTGAAATTCATAAAATCCAATGTAGCCATAATTTAGTAGCTTCGTTTGATTGTGTTCTTCACACATGTTCTTTGGCCATTGCGGTTTTAAATATATACATATTGATATAGGTGTCGGCGCCGCGTATTGAAAACTCGCGACCACGGAAGTAACATCGCAACGTGAAATCTCAGCGTGGGCCCATGACCAATCCAGGATGCGAATGCGCATGGCAACATGAGTGCAGCCGCCAAACAGAACAGGTATCCCCACCTTTAATGTCCAGCAAATGGGTTTGTCTGAAAATTGAATATACATAATGTAACATATATATATACATATATATATATATACATACATATACACATACCCTCCAAATGACGATCTGAATTGGGACAATGATGATACAGTAATCCCTTAGAATATTAATTGCAATCGGGGGTGTCCCCTAAGTTGGTCACATATAGCGGCCATGTACATCAGTACGTCAATGTGTGTTTCTTGATAGAAAAAAATACATCCTAACTACACCCTATTGGTGGTTACGTCATTTTTTACAGCCCCGGCTAAAAATTGGCATGGCATCTGATCTGACATCGTTCATCCCCAATTGACCCAGTTGAAGAACGTTGCGTCGCGAGGCTCGCCCTAAAGGGCGCCTGCCCCAAGGTCCACATGGTGTCGAAGCCCGAGCCAGGCAACACCCTCGGCGCCACGATGAGTTCATCTGAGAAACCGTGGCTGCCGACAAAAAAACACTGGGGATGATTGAAATACTCATCAAAATGGTGATGTCTTTGATGGTCAAAGCTATGGTTAAAGTTCTAAATCTCATTCAACTGTTGTTTTTTTAACTGCCAAAGCGAGACTGTCAGGCTCCGGCTGACCGCATTTCACCAAGCAATCAAGAGCCTCAGGCACTCCCATGACAAAAGAACCTCCAAGTAGCCCAAGTACATGATAAACAGTAGGCCCTACTGAGTAGGGATGCAATGGGACACAGCAGTTGGAACCTTGATTTCCATGGCAGTTGGATCGTTGGATCTAGGTCGCACGTGTCGCCTAGTTTCTGATGGGCACCCAAGTAAAATCAATGGCCCCCTGAACCTCTGGAAGCACCACTAGACAAGACATCGTGACGCTACGACTGGAACATCAACCTCTCAAGCAACTTGTAGATCTGCAAGGTGAAATTCATTGTGGTACCACAACCAGGAAAAAAAAAGTGTTGGCCTGTGTCACTCACTCAGGCGTGTAGTTTCACATTGCTTGGAGCCTTCAATGATCTTTCCATGCTCCGTGCCTTTACGGCCAATAACATCTTATTGTTGTTGGCTGTTATCCATTCCTTTTTGGTTCCCTAATCGTTACATGCAAAATTATCCATGGACCCCTCCACAAAGAATATCTGGGCGTGGAACCACGGGGGCTCCATAAGGTTCCCCAAACCAATGGGCCACAAAATCCTCCAAGCCTGGTTGTTTCATGGGAAACCAATGGAAAACCAATGGAAACCCAATGGAAAACCATCCTTTAATGGGAAACCAATGGACTAGGAGGGTTGCCCCCACCCAGATTGGGCATTGGACGCCCATGCTTCGAAGCGTGGAGGCGGCATTAGGGTTTCCTACGGACCGTGGATGATGGGATTTCATGGGATGTCATGAGATTTTTCAGTATGGGCAGGGTTTTCAACAGATCATGCTTCCAAAAAAAGCCAACAATGATGGCGATTAGAGATGCAATCACCATCTGGAGTATATAGAAAAAATGTTTTTTGTCCATCTGATGTCCATGTTGGTTCCATTTTGAAGGGCTGTAGAAAGAAATATCACCGCTATCCATGAAAGGCTGAGGGTAAGAATATCTCAACCTGCCTGTGACTCGGATCAATACAACATGTGGCGTATATATATATATATAGAAATGTGTACTTGGTTGGTGTCTTCAAACCATCCTCCGAAATATGGTTCAAAAATTGGTTATATGTCAAATCACCTACCAGTGTATATAATATATATATATATATACATAATATATATATATTGTGTGTGTGTTGGGATGCAACCCAGTTACCTATCCATGTACTGTCTGTAAAACAACGCGGGGCCGGTGACCATGGGATCGGCAACGATGACTAGGCAAAACTCCTTCTAATGTTGCTAAGGCAATAGGAATCCACCTTCTCCAATTTTAGCTTTTACGTGGGTGGGTGGGAAACCATCAAAATATCGCTGGCTTATGATTGCTGGCTTACCCTCTAGTAATTTAACATAGCTATTGAAAGTGACCATTTATAGTGGATTTTCCCATTGAAAATGGTGATTTTCCATAGTTATGTTAGTGTACCAGAGGGCAACATGATGTGTTTTATCATGGGATCAGCTCCCCTGATGGCGCTATGCCCATGGCGGCCATACAGCACCTGTGACCAGATTTGTCATCAGCCAAATGCCAGCCTGTCTTCGTAAAGCCGTTGGACAAGTGGGGTGCAGCCTCTGGTAAATTAACATGTTGCGAACTGGAAAATCACCATGTTCAATGCGTAAATCCACTATTTCGACTGGGCCATTTTCAATAGCTATGTTGAATTACCAGAGGGTAAACCAAGGGCTTCAAAAGAACAATCTCAGCTGGTGACAACCAAATGAATTTCACTTGGATTTGTCCGACAGAGTTGGAGGGACATCTTGACATCTTTAAACTTTGCTCACATCGAAATATCTGCCAAAATACATGCAGATATGGGAGTTTTCTGGCCTCAAAATTGAGTCGACTAAGTCTAGCTTTTGACCCTACAGATCTTCATTTCGAGTGAAGCAGCTGAATCACGGAGACCCATTGATAGCCCCTTTCGGATAGCCCAAGGATAGATCTATGAAACTGGTGGTTAAATCATCTTGCATCCCTATGGCCTGGTGACAATGTGGTAAACCAAACCCTAAACCAGCCCCGATAACAGTACAGTTACCCTCTGGTAAACTAACATAGCCATGGTATAGATGGCCCATAGAAATAGATGGTTTACCTATTAATAGCATGGTGATTTTCTATAGCTATGTTAAATTACCAGAGGCTATTGGGCTTCTAATAAAATATCCTGAGGTGTATAACCACTAACTGACCCCAAATAGGTGATACTCTGCGATCGGCTTCACCTCAATACCCAACTTACACGCACCATCACGCCCAAAAAAGGAAAAAAAATAATCTTATGGCCACAATCAGCCATAATCCATCCAAAATCAAATTGGATGTTGTGGTATCTCACTCAAACTTCTTCGCCATCGTTTTTCACCATGGGATTTTCACCCATCAGCTAGGATATAACCCCCCTAACTATGGTTACATAACCACTTGGGGGGGTTCCTAAAAAAATGGTACCTTCAAACAATCCAAGACATTAACTAGGCCATTTTAGTATTGAAACCCATGTTGACTTGGGGATGCCCCATGACTCAAGAAACGCCGAAATATTCTGGCTAATTGCTTAATAAGCGAAAATCCTTTATTGTTTTGGAATATGCTCATGGGATATTAATGATATACCAATGGAATATTAATATACTAATGGGATATTAATGAGATATTAATGGGATATTAATAAGATATTAATGGGTTAATCCCTCATTTTAAGACAGCCCCACTTAGTTCACTGGAACTGCACCCCCAACCCCTCGAGCAGACTGGGTCCCCGCGACTTGCCGCCACTTGGGACTAGTAGGGTTAGGGCCGGGGGGGCTGCTGGCGCTCAAGGCTTTCAAGAGCGCCTGGCGCGTCGTTCAGCGTCGTGAAGCCACCACTGCTGAAATCGGTTGGAGGAAACAAATGCCACCAGGAAAATTAATACAATAATAACTTAATGAGATGGAATAATCTTCCAAAATTATATAACTATGTACGTAACCATTTCGAAAATTATAACTATGATGTCACCAAACATCTGGAATTTTACTTGGATTTCACCTAATGAGATCCCTCCCCCTAATCTCTGCGTTTTTTTTAATCATCTCGGAACATGTTTTCGTTCCGTTCACCGGCGGCCGATGATCCAAACTAACTCCGCCTCCCCACCACTTTGCTCCATGAACAGTCTGCCTCGACCTGGATGTTCCTGGATCAGCGTAGCTGGTGTTGTGGTTGTGGTTGTGGTTGTGGTTGTTGTTGTGATTATTATGATTATGATTATGATTGTCAATTCTTTAGTTATTATCATCATTGTAATAAATTATAATCATTATGATCACTATAGTTTGAATGATTATATATGTGGTTGACTTGTGATGTTCAACCAATCTGAAGTGAGGCCAGTTTTGGGTGGTCCCTTAAGCACCGTTTTTATTGTGACCTCAGGACGGTGAAAACACCGTCCTGAGAAGCCCTCAACCATGGCCGTTTCATAGGGAAAGAATCATGAAAAACGGTGATGAACTATCAAATATGGTGTTTTTTTCCGACATTTTCAAACAAGACCAACATGTCAGTAAAATCTCAAGTCCTCTCCGCCTATCTGAGTCAACCACGTGAATCAGCTCATTGAGAGCTTTAAAACACCTCGGTGAAGGTTTTTATGGAAGCATACATGAATATGTATCTGCATATGTATGTATGCGTGTATATAGATATATAACGTATATATATATATATATACACGTATGTACATATATATATATATACATAGATGTGTGTGTGTGTGTTGTGTGTAGGTAGGCGGGTACGCATGTACCATACATGCTGTATGTATGTGTGCGTGTATGCATTGTGTATTTTGTAGTTGCCTAAATAGATATATCATACATTATCATACTATGTGTCATGTATAAATATACATATATACCTTATCATTATCATACTATATGTATGTATGTATATATATATATATGTATCATGTATATCATACTATATGTGTCATACTATATATCATTATCATACATTATCATGCTATGCATATATATATAATTACTATTATGTATAAATCTACATCACGTTCCGGCTGCCCAATGGTCCCAGTTTCTGAAGCGAACGAGAATCCAGGATTAACCATCCAAGAAAGCGTTCGTTCAGGTCCAAAGTTCAGAGGGTTTCAGATGGTTTGATATGTATGAATACATCATATTTATATATATATATATATGTATATATGTATACATATAGTATGTATGTGTATGTATATATATATATACACAATGCATATCATTTTTCATTTTGCGTATGCATCAGTGTGCAAAAGAAACAGAGCAGAACCTTGACGAAACCTCAACAAAAGCAGACGGACTTACTCACAAATGAGAAGCGCCCGAAACCCAAGAAATGGTCCTCTTCTACTGGCTGGTTATAACATGTTATAATTCTTTTTCGGAAATTTCTGGTTTTTTTTCCGTTTTTCCCAGAGGTTGTTTCACCATTTCTTGGTTGCATGGGCCCCAGCGGCCGCGTCTGGGCCTCCCTGGCTCACAAAGTAATTCCTCATTGGGCTGCGAATGCCTTGGGTGAAATCTCTGGGATGTCTTGGCGTCGAGCTGAAACGTAGCTGAAGCGCATCGATTTTGGGTGTTTTTTTTGCCGAAAGATCGATTTGAGCATGGCACCAGGATGTTGGGAAAATGAGATTTACTTCATATTTCCAGCTCTATCATTCTATATCATTCTACCTACTTGGGTCCATACTTGACGACTTGACGACTTCCACATCTGGAACAACGCAGATTCAACTTGCGTGCGATTTACAAAGTAGTGCTAACGGATCGACGAATGGCAACAACAGTGGATTCACATGACCCATGACCCACCATGGTGAATCCATTGACGAACCATCAAGGGGGGGCTATCATGAATCATCCCAAATTCAGGTACTGTGGTTAAAACAATGTCATAAACCACCCATTTGGGAATGGTTTATTACCAACGGGGATGGCTTATTGTTGTTTTACCCACATTATACCCAATTTCACAAACCACAATCTGGGATGGCTAAGTCGGCATTTGATTTACCACATTACATGCGCATCTCCTCGCTCCAAAAAATAATAAGTACTGACCCAGACCAAACTCTGAAAACATTTAGGCCGTCCTTTTCTAGCCCCACTTTTTGCGGATGCTGTCCCTCGAAAACGTTGACAACCTTAGCCTGTGTAGGTCGTGATAATCAATATCCAAAGTATCTTACGTATCCTGTCAAGTATCACACGGCACTGCGTTGATCCAAATGAGTCCTGTACCCGGTACTGTCCAAAGAACCGTTCATAAGTGGAAACTCCTCCATCTTCAAGTGGTTATTTTATGGGAAGTGGATGAGCCCTGCACGCCCTCTGAGTCCCGCCACTGTCGTAGAGCTGCCAGAAGGCCAAGCACCAACACATCAGCTTCCGACCACCCCATGCAGCCCTCCTGGTGAAGTGGAAAACCCATCGGAAAACCATTGGAAACCCATTGGAGAACCATCAGAAAATGGAAAAGGATTGGAAAATCAGTGTTGAAACTACGATTTCATCCCAAAACAGCGAACCTGGGTCCAGGAAGATAGCCCTCACATGACCCATGTCGGAGATCCATAGTTCTTCATTGATAGTGTGCATAAAGGTACTTCCAAACCCAGGGAAACTCCAAACCCATAGGTTTCGCCAGAATGGATGCCATCGGCTGAAGTATTTGGGGTTTGTCTGAAAATACCTTACTCCCAAATTTCATGGCATGCTAATCATATATGTTTCCCCATTATTTTTTAGCGCCTCTCTATTTAGTGACGGTGGATGTAACCCGCTTTTTCAGCTATATACCCCATTCATCTTCCATATCTTCCATGGAATCCCCATAAAAGTTACTGATCTCCCATCGAAACCTCGATTTTTCATGGTGAACTCCGATTTTTGGCTGGTGAAATCTTTGAAACATCTTGAAACCCTCATTGAAATCCTTGAAATCCTCCATTTTTTCGGACGAAATCTCCCAAGAAAACTGCTGCGTCCCCAGTCCTTGCCGCGTTCCCTCTGCTGTTCCGAAAGCTCCCGCAGTGCTTTGGCCGTTGCCTTGGTCGCTGAATTTATCAGCGGAAAATCATGAGGGGAAATCCCCCAACGAAATGGAGCTTTCCATGGGAAAAGATATACCCTCTGGTTATTTAACAGTTTGCCATGGAAAATCACCATGCTATTAATAGGTAAACCCAGGTAAACCATCTATTTCGATTAGGGCCATCTATACCATGGCTATGTAACAAATAACCAGAGGGTATATGTCGGACATCCCCGTTTTTTAAAAGGAGGTTTATGGTTCGCAAAATTGACCGAATTTAGGGGAATTTTCCAGCAAACCATGTTTGATTACCAGAGGGTAACCATGGAATAATATCTAAAAATCAAATAAAGATCGGACTTTTCGACCAGACTTGATGAAATAACGAGGTCATCAAATAGAAATATGATTGAACTAGACTAACGGTTACATAAGGTTTCAATCAACCAATCAGATAAGAAGCAAACAAATGTTGGGAGAAACAACACAAACTGGGATTTCACGACCATGCAGACACAACAAAAAAATTGGGATTCAGACACTTTCCGTTGAGTGGTTCGTTCAAACTCAGTCTGGTTAGTGGGCGAAAGCTCGTTAGCCACTTTTTGCTGAATGTTGAATGATACAATCATACCCAAATCGCCATGCTTAAATGGTGGAATCCTTGTTTCTGCCAACGGTTAAACAGACAATTTAATTTGGGTTGCCGAACGCGGATGCTTGTCAATTGGGGGTAGCCGGGTAGCCAGAAACCATAGTTTACCCATAAAGAATGACATATTGCTAAAGAGTTTGAGGTCCCTCACTTCAAAAACACTCCATTATTGGTTTCATCATTATCCCAGGAATATCAAAAAAAATACGTTCACGAAAGACCCCGCCATTTATATCGTTGAGGAATCCAATTGTGGTCATAAAAAGTTAATCATGTCATGATATTGATGGGCTACAAGTACTTTATTCCTAGTCTATCTCTATGTTGGTTGATATTTCATCCATTAAAAAAAACAAGAATGGTGTGACTAATGTGGAATTCACCCAATGCCATAGTATGCCATAGTCACCATCCCCAAGTTTGAGCTTCACCAAAAATGGGTATACCTCTAGGACTGGGATGATGTTTTGTTATGACCCCCCCAATCATTCATGGTTGGTGGATGCTTTATGATTGGTTTTACCTTTTTCAGCCATGGAAAATTCAACTCTCCACCTGGAAGATCATGAAACTTCGTAACTGGTAACCCTGGTGCTCGTGAAAGTCCCCGATTCCTAGTTTTTTCTTACCCATTTATGCTCGTGGACAATTACACCAGTTATGGAATGATAAAAAAAATGTGTGTGTGGATGATTTCCAGCCGGATTTTTGACAACAGAAACACACACTATGACTTCGTCAGTTGGGATGATGAAATTTCCAATATATGGAAAAATTCATCCAAATGTTCCAGTCACCACCAACCAGACACTCATTTTCCAGTCACAAAGTCCCTCCTTACGGACTCCAGGTGGCATATTGCACTGCCATTGTGCCCAGCGTGTTGCCTGGCATCGCCTCGGCAACACTGAAAGACGCTAAAAGCCACCGTTGTGGTTTCTTATAACGAGGGATATGTGGTGGTTATAACATATTATCTAAGCCATTATAGTGGAATATATCGTGTTTAATGATGAATATATCGTGGAAATCGTTATGTGGTTATATAGTGGCCCTATATTTTTTGACGTTGAAACCATATTTAGTGGAGATTTTGTCAAAAAGATAGCCCAGGTTATAACGTGGATCATGAAAACATTGACAGTTATAGAAGAATATAAAGAAATATCTAATGTTGTTTTACCTAATGATGGTTTAAATTCCAAAAAAATGCGTTGTATCACATCTCCAATCCGTGCGGAAACCAGGAATAATATGTTGAAATATTACATACCCTCCGGTAATCAAACGTAGCAATGGAATCATTGGGTAATCATCTACAATGGGTAAATGTCAATGGCTATGTCAACCTACTAGGGGTACATTGTTGTATACATGATTTCGTGTATATATATATATACATACTAGGCTACACATGTTATATATATATACACATTGTATATTACATACACGGCCCGTGAAGTATACTGGTATATACTGGTCAAACTCACTAGTTTGATGCTTGTAAACCCAAATGTATGTCTATATATACATATTATATATATATATAATGTATATGTTGGTGAAGCCCAAATGTTTGGTAGTTACGTTTCCAACAAAATCCTTGTGATCATCGTCCCATATTGGATTAGATCATACTCATGATCCAATGATCAACCACAAAAACTATCACCAAAAAATCGTACCCTCAACCATCAGCCAACTGCAATCCCCAAGTTTACTGGTTAAACCAGGGTTAAACCGAAATCTGTGAGAAAGTCGTAGCCCGTTGACAATGTTGATATCCTTTGGTTTTAGTTGCCCGAATCATTGCGATTACAGCAACCACGATTTTATCAGTTGGATGTCCCCAAAGCTACTGGTTTCTTGATAGAGGCTCCCTACCGGTTGCTATCCAGAATGTCTCCAATGTCTTTGGGTCAAAAGTTGGATTAGATTAGGCCATATAGGCAAAAAAGGAGGATGGTCATCAATCCATGTTCATAGGATTTATAGACCCATTATGGTTGGATTCCCATGGCATGGGATGATCGTAACCCATTAATCTCATGTGTTGTCTCTAGCACATACGGTTTTGCCCAGGAATAGGCCCTGAAATACACTGCAGATGGGCCATGACTTGGGGATAAATCCCCCATCTCTAGACACCCCTGACCAATCCTTGTTGCTGTCCATCTGCCCCGCTTGTCACCCAAATCATGCGTGTTGGGTATATGTACATATACCATCACATACCCCCATCTCCCGTCAAATCCCCAGTCGATCCGCATAAAACTGCCATGAACTCCCCCATTTTGTCTGCTTGAACCCCCAAATGATTGACAATTATAGTCAATAAATCACTAGTTTTGTCACATTGCCATCTTGTCAGTTCCTAGATGTTCCTAGCCTCCCCTTGCCCTCCTTGTCTTCGCCTGCGAGAGCTTCAGAAGTTGCACGAACCCACTGACGCCATGGAGGACGTAGCTCAGCCTCGACTCGGAAGGTGGGGCTCTGAGCCCAGCCCATGGCTGAAATCACATAGGCTATAAACCAACCATGCTGCTGGCTGAGATTCACCACATCTGCATGACCAGTTGACCACGGGGTGTTCTGCTGGGCAATGGGTTTATCATGGTTTATACTTATTGGACTTAATTGTTTGATTGAAGACTGTTATGATCCGTTGTGGGAACCCCTATCAAACCGTGAAATGAAAGTCCCTGAAAAAAGAATAACCTCCAAAATCACTCCAACATGTCAATTCCTACATTACCCTCTTCATTTTGGGGTTTTCAGCGGAGTACTGTAGTCCTTTGACAAAAAAGAAATTGGTCGTGTCTTCAAAAATAACAACTTGAGTGCCATAGCCTTTCAGAAATGATGGTTTGGGGTTCTACAAATAACCAATTCCCCGAATATTTTTATCATTATCCACATTCTAGCCTTACTGTGGAAAAAAAAAACATATTTTGAATATGATCCCATCTTCCATACCCAATACCCAATACCCGCGTGGATAAATCCCAGGTTTTTTTCATGGTAAACTCACCGCTGTGTGAAATCACCATTTCTGAACATACCCCATGTTTTTCCTGATGAAATCCCCATTAAATTGGCTACCAAATCCTTATTTGGTGTTTTTAAAGCTCCATTTTTCGTGAAAATTCCCCTCTTCGGTTGGTCAAATCCCATGAAAATCACGATTATTGCTTCTTGAATCCCCCTTTGGGCTTGTTCAAATCACCACTTTGCCGCGTAGAATCACCATTTTCGCTGCACGATGGTGCCCCCCAGTTGTGTTTGTTGCTTTATCACCCCATCTAATTATTTGCGTATCATGACTCATGACTATTGTTACAACATAGTTATGTTCACCAACGAACGCTAAGGAACTGGGGCCCTGGGGCCCCACCCGCCTGGGACCCCATCGAAATGGAAACCGCTCCGCTGAGTTTCCCCGGCCACGCGCCCTCCTCTAGGAGTTTCGCGTGGGCTGGGTGTTGCGCCATGGCCTGGCGCTGTAGCTGGTGATTCCCCCAGGAAAATAATGATGGTAACTTGACCCATCCCCAAAAAAAACACATGAATATATGCTGGTTGATGGTTTGTTGGTGATTTATATCAACATGTGTTCTATAAGTCATGTAAGTTGTGAGTTATGGAAATTAGATAAATTAGATAAATTTGATGGCTATAAACATTTGAAACCACCAAACATGAATGCTGACGGTTCTGCTTGTATAAGTTGCATCATATCCCCTATGTTGAAATGACCATCATCACAAATAAACACCCACTGTTATCGATTGATAATGTCAATCCCGGATGGAACTAAAGCATGGTTGATTAAGGATCGGGGGAAACACCCCAAACGATGATGATTTGCTATTGAACCCACCTACGGCCATCAAATAATACAGAAGATGATGATAAAGCATGGGATGGAACTGGGGGGGTTCCCTATTGACAAACCCATCTTGTAAGTTTG